GTTTGGCTAACTTAACGTTTCATGTCCGCATCAGACAGCAGACAAGCCGTACCTGGACGCGTTCGACCAGGAGCTGGGTCTTCTGAAGGACAGGATCCGCCGCTGTGCTCGGGCTCGAGTGGAGAACACTGTGAAGGAGCTGGAGGAAGAAGAGAGGCAGATGAGGCTGGGACCCGGTGGTTTAGACCCTCTGGAGGTCTACCAATCACTGCCAAAGGTAAAGCTTCGACACACACACATGCAAGCAAACACAAAGGTATCACTATTTCAGGGAGAAGTTTGTCATAGTGATCAGCGGAGATTTAAAAGGACATTTCATCGCTTGTCAAACTGAAGAAAGCAATAGCAGAGAGTTAGATGAACAGAAGGCAACACATTCGATGATTATATATGTTCTTTAAATAAGTATTCAGATTAGTTCTAGTTAAAATTATGACTTTACAAGAAGGACATCAAAAGGATTTGCAAACGATTTACTTTTAATCTTTCTTTTAAACCTTCATGAGACTGTAAACGCAGCCACAACATCTTGGGCAGTTAATCTGTCTTGTTAAGTGTTTAAGTAAATCAGATTATATTGTATGGTGCTGTCATTCATGTGTCTTTGTTTCAGACAATCTAATGTTTTTAACATCTCGTTCCACCTAAAAAAAAACAGAATAAATGAATCCTGGTTGGTAAGATACACCAAAGTCTGTTTCTCAAATAAAAGCTTTCCACACTCGCTGTAAACGTGCGTGTCCCCTATGGGTTTACAGCAGTGAAACTTGATATGACCTTACACTGAAACAGAGAAAAGAGTGTCTGTCCCCAGAGTCAGAACTAAACACGGTAAAGCAGCGTTCAGTTATTATGCTCCAAATATCTGGAACAAACTCCCAGAAACCTGCAGGTCCGCTGCAACTCTGACTACTTTTAAATCCAGGCTGAAGACTTTTATTTTTGTCGCTGCTTTTAATTGAACTATTCATATCTTAAACTGCACTGTAACTTTTATCCATGTATTTTTTCTTTTAATGTTTATTTTATTAGCTTTTCTTTTTAATGACTGATTTTAAATGCCATTTTCTTAATGTCTTTCGTTTTTTGTAAAGCACTTTGAATTGCCTTGTGTTGAAAAGTGCTATATAAATAAACTTAACTTGCCTTGTTGCCCCGCTCTTCATCCCTGGAGGCTGTGAGGGAAACATCAGGCCTGTTAGAGCGCCTCCCTTTTCATCCAGTGTACACACCACATCAATGAACACCTTGTTTTGCTGTAAAGGCCGAAACTACGAGCCAAAATAAAAAGTCAATACTGCAGATCAGATCAACACACAGGGCTACGAGTTGTTGTGTACGCACAGTTTTAAGACGTGTCATAAGAGACATCATATACTGTTGTCCAGCAGTGTTTAATAGATGGACGTAGCGGCAGAATGAATATATTAGGATTCATGCCAATCTACCGACTTTCCTGCTTCTTCCATAGAGTTCACTTCCTGTTAAAAGCTCCTGACGTGAGCTATTTGTGAGATTGCATTTCCCGCACAGATTTCAGAACAGTTGTTTGTAGACTTGGCGCTGTCTATTGATATGAACCGGGTTGCCATTTGGATAATCAGAGGAGTCAATACACGGCAGAATGGACTCCACCAGTCAGGCATGAGCGCTCTGTGTGCCAGGTAAACAGCTTATCTACTTTCTCTGAGATTACGTACCGTAATTGTTCAGCTTCTCCTTACTGATTTAAAGATTTTCTTTAAGTGAATTAAGGTCCAATGTCAGTAGAATTTGGGAAAAAGTGAGTATTGGGAGTGAATTTAAAGTTATGGATGCAGGATTTACTTAAAAGTGATATGATATAACATGACAATGAAAGCATTTTCTTACTAAACTCACATCGTTTCAGTGTTGAGATCTGCAGTGGTCAGTTCAGTACGTTTCTGTTTTGTATCCTAGGAAGTACAGAAGGGCTTTGATGAGAAGAACATCCTGTTGCTGCAGGAAGCTATGAGCAAACTGGGCGTGGAGGTGAGTGTGTTGGACGTAAATGTTAAAATAAAAACTAACATAGAGAAGGCCGAAATTGTCTTTGATTGGGACAAAATACATGTGATTTATTCATTCTGTTTTTCTCTCTACAGGAAGGAAAGTACCACCTTAGGAGATGTATCGACTCTGGACTGTGGGTCCCTCAATCAGGGGATAGTGACGAAGAAGAAGATGGAGAGGAAGAAGATGATTCATAAAAGAAGAAAAAACATACCTTGTTTGTGTACATTGGATGTTGACAAGTCCAACCATCGTCTGTTTAAAACAACAATAGAACTCCACAGCGTTTTCAAGAGCTCACACAAAAGCCTTTACTTGCCAAGTTAACAAAATAAGCTTCTACGTAAGGCAAGCTTTAATCAGATTTTACACTGCAGAAACTTGACTCTGAATAAATGTCATTAGAATCAGCTTATTTTACATTTGATTTAATTTGATATAGCACTCCAAAACGTAGTTACCAAACACTTTAATAAAAGGGCAGATAACACAATGTATAACTCTTTAAAAGTTATTAAGCAAAGGGCATACACATGAGTGAAACTACCAATAGCAAAATACTTTAAAAAGTCATCCAAAAAAACACTTTTGCTTTTAAATGAAACCTAGCATGTCATAGCAGGCTCATATTTCTATCTGCCTGTATCTGTAGTCAAACTGAGGTCAACAGCACCATCTCATGTCTGCTTATGGACAGACATCCCATAAACTACATCACAATCGTGTCAGTCAAACACACATTCCTCTAGTTTCCTCCCTTGATTCAGCTTTTAGTGTAGCAACGTTTGGGATGCAATGTTTAAAAAGCTTCAGCTAGAAAGTGGTTATTATTTCTGCATGAAAAAAAAGAGAAATTATGTATTTAATATCATTGTAGTTGCAGATTAATCTTCTGTCAATCGTCTAATAAACTAGTATAAGAATTGTCTCAAATCTCCTAGTAAAATTGTTTGAATGTATTTTAAAGTCGTTGCTTTCTGATGTGAGATTGTTGTAATCGTTTGTATTTGTGACATTTTTATTTTGTATTTCTGCAGTTGTGAGACTGTTTGATTTGTGTTGGGGAGGCTGTGGCTCAGTGGATCGTGTGCTGGACTTCGAATCAGAGGGTAGCAAGTTCGAGTCTGCAGTCAGCATGTCGTTGTGTCCCTGGGCGAGACACTTCACCCCAAATTGCTCCTGTGGGGATTATCCACAGTACTGAATGTATGTAACTCGCTTTGGATAAAAGCATCTAACAAATGACATGTAATGCGTAGTACTTGTATTCTTCACAAACTGTGTTTATTTATTAAATGTTCCACTAGTTCCTCTGAGTTTCCATTCATTTCCTGCCGTTCCTCTCTCTCTCTCTCTCTCTCTCTCTCTCTCTTTCTCACACTTGCATAATTCATTCCTCTCTCTCTCTCTCTCTCTCTCTCTCTCTCTCTCTCTCTCTCTCTCTCTCTCCTCCTCCATAATTAATTGCTGGGTTTGATTTAGTGGTCTGTGCTCGTTTTCTTTCAGGCAAAGCTTCTTTGTGCTGTCATTTTGTAAATAGAAAACAATCAGTGCAGGCATGGGGCATACATCAAATCTAGAAGATGCCTATACAGTAAAGCTTTCTGGAGAGAAACCGAATAGAATCACAGCTTTATGCAAACAAATGACCAGGTGTATGTTTACGTAAGTGAATATGGTTGTCAACATCAGGCCCTGACTTGATTTATGAAAAGTCAGCTCAGGTTTAGTTCCTCAATGTTAACTCGGAGACTGTTATACGGCCATTTTGGGAACCATCACAGTATACTGTATGTCGTCTGTCAATCGACTAAAAAGTAATCTGCAACATTTGTTGTTTGTTGTCTGTTTTTTTAGACCTTTTCAAGCAACAATCTCACACCTTCTCTTGTTTTTAACTTATCAAATATGACAAGTCTCTGCTTTTGCTTGTCTTGCATTATAGTAAACTGAATAGCTTTGGGTTTTGGACTCAGTTATAACTTAAAACAAATAGTTCAGAAATGTCCTCCTGCCACTGGGTCACAGTATTTTCTTACACATAATTAGCATATGTTTCAAGTAACTCCTTTTTTGGTACATAATCAGCTGATTGGTTGATAATACAAATGATGACTAGCTAATCCTTGCTATCTTATTTATATCAATGGAGCAGATTCATGAATAGCAGCTTGTTGCTCTTTGCTTTCCATCGTCTACACATTGATCAAAAAATATTGAGAATGAAACAAAACAGAAAAGCATGATTCCTCCTTTAGGATTCATGATGACATTTGATGAACCGTCACAGTGTATGTCTTCTCTCAATGGACTCAGAGGTTATCTGCAGCTATTTTGAGCTGATGTATTATGTCAAGATCGTTCTTACTAAATTTTCAGGCAACAATCTCAAATATTCTATTGTTTTAATTGATCAAGATTATTTGCTTGTCTTACATGAATACATTAATTTCAACCTTACTATCTTATTTATATCAATGGAGCAGATTCATAAAGAGCAGCTTGTTCCTTTTTGCTTTCCATCCTCAGTACACATTTATTGCAAAATATTCAAGATGAAAACAAACGTATAAGGGATACAGGAACTGCATGTCATTGAGTGGCTGTAAAAGGACATGCTAGGGAAGAAGCAGCGTGAGTAACAGGCTGCATGAATCCTTTACTGTGATTTTCTGTCTATCAATATGAGCAGCGTGTGCCAATGAAATCCTGCTGAGTGCATGGGTGTGTATAATGGAGAGGACTGACGCCTGACTATTGAAGCAGGAGAATCGGCGTGTGGCTGCTATTGAGGGGGAAATGCCACACACAAAAAGGCAGGGGTACCGATGGAGAGAGGAGGAGGCGGCTGTGTGGGATTAATGGACACACTGTGCAGGGGGAGAGAGGGGAGGGGAGGGGGGGGAAATGGGCTTCTCCACGGCTGGGGGGAGACCACTGTGGCAGGGGAGAGGGAGAGGCAGGGAGGGAGGGAGGCTGGTGAAGCCGCGGATATTCATGAAGACGCCGAGTGTTTTCTCTCTCTCTCGCCGTGGTGACACACTGCTCGTCTGCAGAGGGGAGACAGAAGGGGAAGGAGACGGGAGAGAAAGCGAGACGAGGCCCAGCCCATCTTGCCATTGATCTTCAGGCGATCAAGGTGAGTGTGTTTTTATATTCTAACATGCTGCGGCCTGTGTGTGTGTGTGGTGTGTGTGTGTGTGTGTGTGTGTGTGTGTGTGTGTGTGTGTGTGTGTGTGTGTGTGTGTGTGTGTGTGTGTGTGTGTGTGTGTGTGTGTGTGTGTGTGTGTGTGTGTGTGTGTGTGTGTGTGTGTGTGTGTGTGTGTGTGTGTGTGTGTGTGTGTGTACATGTGTGTCTGACACATATCTTGCAGTGTGTGTGCAGACAGGCGTGATGGCAGGGCTGTCCTCATGAATGCATGACTTCAGTGTGTGTGTGTTTTTTAATATTTTTCTTTGGGGGGTGTTTTGTAACAGAAGAGCAGTGCTGGTAGTTGAGCTGCATATTGATGCATTGCTGCTTCTTGGTTTTATAAGCATCTGTAGTGGCAGCCATGGTGTGTGAGTCAGTGTGTGTGCTCACATTTCTCATTGTCTGTGCGTATATATGTCACTGTGTCACCATGCATTTGTTGATTCCTCATCACAGACTGTTTCTTTTTCCCGGCTCCACGCTGTGAATGTGTGCAGACTCTGGGGTGAGAAAGCTCTCGTTGAGTGGGTGTGTTCTTCATGACCCCTGGTAAAAGTCGTCTCCACCACTTACTGTCTGTGTTGCAGCTCAATCAGAAACACTCTCATATGCTGCATCTGTCCTATGCATTGGAATTAGGTCATCTCGAACTGCTCAAAGTAATTATATAACATCACAGAGCTTTACTGTGGCAGTGTCTGCTCAGAATTAGCCACTGGAGGTACAGCTCCTGCAGTGCAACAATAGCCAACATATGTTGTTAAAGGGCAGCCCCCTTCGTTAGTCGACCAATCGTTTAATTCGATATTATTGAAGTATTTCATTAATGTTTTTCATGCCTTGTATTGTGGGAAACAATTGTTCCCATAAGGATGTTCTCACATTTGATGATGCATCAGATGAATGTATTAGATGAAAGCAGGACAGAGAGTTCTCAGAGGAGACAGATGACTCAAACAGAGACGTCTCTTTCTCATCTTTTCTGTTTTCCCACAGGGGAATCTACACCGAAGAGGACACACTGACACAGATTCCAGGATGGATCCGGGCATATCGAACCTGGAATTCTGACATCTGGACTTCGTATTTACCACTTCTTCCCATGCAGAATTCGGATGCCGACTGACCAATCAGACGGCGGGAAGCTGATCTGAGACTCGCTGCAAATCCTCCCACAGGCTGGATCTGGATTATTGAGTGTTGCATTCATGTGGGATCAGGTTTACCACTGGGGAATGTCATCGGAACAATACTGCAAGTTGGATAAACATTTTAGGAAAAGGTTTTCCTTAATGGTGGCATCATGAACTCTGACCGGGAAATCCCATCGGCTCGTCTGGCCAGAGCAAGACGACATGCAGGCGGACTTATTTTTTCACAGAAACTCGTAGCTTGCACAAAAATGGAGTGAGGATATTCGTTTATTTTGTATTTTTCTTCCTCTTTTGGCTTGTTTGGAAAATAAAAACACAGACACACAAAGGTCGCCCACCTCAGACTGACCCTGGAGCCTCTGAGGGGCCTTAAATGCACCTTTAGCTTTTAACGACGCCAGGTTTCAGCCCCCTGAGGACGGAGGACGGTTGGCTGGCTGAATCAGCTCCGATGGGGGCCGGTTGTGACCCGGTCTGACCCCGGTTTGACCTTGCAGTGACCTTTGACCTCTCCGGTCCTGGCTCTCCACCTGCTCTGCTGCCTGGGTTCAGGAACGCTCCGTCCTGGGGCCCAGAACGAGCCAATCAGGATGAAGAAGAGCCGCAGCGTGCTGTCTGTGACTGGAGAAGAGGTGAGAACATAAACAACCAGGGATTAACTCAATATTACATTTTCATGTGACCATAACATTGAGTATCTGACAATACTAATGCTCTGCACTTGTTTCCTTCTCTTGAACAACTAAGCAGTTGATAAATGGTATGGATGCCCTAAACAAATATTCTTCTCTGCACTTTTAAAGGGGTTCTATTCTGCTCATTCTCAGGTTCATATCAGTATTTTGTGCCTCTACTGTGACATGTCTCCATGCCTTAATGTTCAAAAAGCTCTTTGTTTTACTCATACTGCCTTTGCTGCAGCACCTCTTTTCACCCTCTGTCTGAAACCAGAGCCCAGTCTGCTCTGATTGGTTAGCTGGCCGGCTCTGTTGTGATTGGTCCATCGCTTAGAGATTTCCCGCCCCTTAGCCTATCACATACAATGTGTTTGATCGCTAGCCTATAGAAGCACAAACGTTACCTAGTGATGTCACTATGTCGCAGAAGTAAACAAAGTCCAATGGAGGAGTTTCAGGGAGTGTGTGGGTGAGAAATTCCCTCTGAAATTGTCTGCAAAGGCTAAAATCCTTTGCATTTACGTGCACAAAAAACACACACTACAGGAAAGGGAAAAACCAGCACCATATTAAATGATACTATTTTTTTATCTCTGAAACACAATCCAGTGATTTTGGCAAATATCGGAAACTATTTGATTGACACATCCCTCATATACTTGAGGAAATAACAAACTTTATCACCTGTTTCCATGGGAGTCTGTTCAAAGCAGAGCAGACTGTGTGTGTGTGTGTTTTTGAATACTCACCATGACACACAAACCTCGTGACTTTCACACATCCAAGCCTCCCTTTGTTCTTGTTGTCAAGGTCTGTGTCCGCTCTCAGGAGTCCGAGTGGACGGTTTGTCCTCTTCACTCGCTCACACCGTGTGAAGCACTCACTCTCTCATAGGCCGGTATGGAAATGAGTGCCGGCTAAATGAGGGCTCTATGTAAATGCACAATGTTCTGTTAAAGGTAACGTCTGGCTGAAGGACATAATAGGATGCATTATTCCCTCCCTCTTTTATTGATTACGCTGAGGAGCAGGTGTCCATACATTTCCGTTTGTGTGTGTGTACTGTGTCTGTGTGTGTGTGTGTGTGTGTGTGTGTGTGAGCATCTTTCCACATCTGGGTCTGGACGACATCAAACGCAGCATGGAAGCAACACGGCACTGTTGCCTAGCAACTGCTACCATTCCCCCTTGTGTTTTGTTGCTACGGTACTGCAGTGCAGATCAGCCTCGAAGAGCTCCGTCTGTGGAGGCCTCATCCCAGACACACACACACACACACACACACACACACACACACACACCACACACACACACACACACACACACACACACACACACACACACACATACACACACACACACACACACACACACACACACACACATAAATGATTTATAGTTTGTGTTTTTTTCTTCTATTTTCTCCTCTGAAATATAAATCCCTTATTTACCCTGGAAGAGATCTCACTGAAATTAAAATCTCATTTTCAAGTGTATACAAATACAACTGTCACACACTACAAATAGGGTTGTGGCGATATACCGGTGAAGACTGACAGTAACTTTGATATTTGTACGATACGATACGCACAATAATAGTTGAGTCAAAGATACATTTTAGACAGCATTATTATTGTTATTAAAACAATGTTGAGATATCGGGATAATATCATTAGCATGAATTACCTGATAATCTTGTTGTCTATTTTGTTTCCAGTTACTCGAACACGAAAAACAGCTGTAATGCAGTAAAAAGGCACAATATGTTTAACCTTCCAGTAAAAAATCTAAGAACAATCAAAGAACCAAGACTGCTGTTTTTCTCAATCTTTTCAAATGGACTTAAATTAGAAATCAGCTCTGCTAATTTAAGGTCCTTCTGTATGAAAATACTGAAAAAAATGTTTGCAAACTTTTTTCTTGGCCCTAGGGGAAACATCTGTACAATATTATGAGAGCATTGGCCATATTGATAAGAAGCAGCACTAAGAGAGATGTTCATATGAGGGCCAACCAACGCGAAACATATAGACATGACCATTTAACAGCAGTGTAAAGACGACAGTGGTGTGCAACATTTTCACAGCCAGTAAAAAATCATAAAGCAAAATAATAAATCAACAATATGACAACTGCATGGACACAATTATTATATGTTCTTTGCTGACTCTACACAGACACATTGTTCATATCACCCTCTCTCCCCCCTCTCTCTCAGGGTAAGGACACAGATATAATTGGTGCTGAGGAGAAGGCGGAGTCATCTCGCTACAGCCGATCTTATACGTCCGGGGCCACTCTGGGGGCGGAGCTACGCAGAGGGAGGAGCAGAAGACTTTCCTCCAGTCTCCAGGTATTGAAAGCATGCACGCAATGTAAACATACTGCTCATGAACATGAATGTGGCTGCCTGGAATGACAGGAAAAATACAAAAATATCCCCAATAATCCATTGCATACAATTAGACACAATTGTACAGGTTTATTTGAGTTGTATTAATGGTAGTGGATGATTTGTAGTTACGAAGCTAAACCACATTTACACATTTGCAATTGATTCAATTACACCAGTAAATCTGTTTGTTTTGTCTGTACCAGTTTTCCTAGTGTGAATTGTACACATATATACAAGCAACTGGTGGCGCATGTCAATTTACATACCTAATTACTACTTTGCTAGAAGGATACAACACAACCCCAAATACAGGTTCCACTGTCTCTGCTGGATGTCCAACTGTGAGCTAATACGTTTGCATCAACTAAAAAAGTGATATTTGGTCAGTGAAGGGTTAACAGCTTGTTTCTGCTGACACCTACAGTACATGGCCCAACAAAATGCACTTCAATGAATGAAACCCCCAAGGTTTCCTGGAAAAATACCTACAGATACAAATCAAATATTCCATGCATACATCATACATTTAAAACAAACTTGTAAAGGTTGATTTATGAGTTGTATTGAAAGCTTTTGAATGTGTTATAGTCACAAAGCTCATTGATAAACAAACTTACATCAAATTGATGATCTTCTCTGAACCATTTTTCACAGTTTTTTTTTTAAATTATTTTTTAATTCAGCTTTTCACAATCATAGACAATACAATATTCTCTGTAAGCCTTCTGTAGTTTACAATTAAGTCACAAATCAAACATACATATGTGTGGATAATACGGAGGCAAGCCTCCCTGACCTTCAAACGCGCTATAACATACAGTACGAACATAAACACCAGCAACAGGGTTATGGAGGTGTATCTGCAACCTATTCAAACAAGGGGGGCATAGACATTTAAAAAAAAAAATATATATATCAAATTCCCTTCTAGACAAATGATGGTCGTATTAGTTTAACATATTATCCATTTTTCCCATCTCGACAGTCTCAAAGCAAGGGTTATCTTAAAAATACATCTTAAAAATATCATAAACAATGTCAATCCACTCGGTTAGGTTAGTTTTCCCCAATGTTAAGTGGAATAGAGTGTAAATAATGTGCTGTACCCACTGGAAAAGCAACTGGTGGGCAGGTATAACTATATCCAATATATCTGAATACTTCATTTCTACAAACCCTTCCTTTCACTCTTCAGGTACCGTGCTGGCTCCGCCCCCGAGACCGCACCCGCTCCCCCGAGGTCCTGAGCAACGTGTCCCGTCCGACAACTCTGCCCCTCCGCATCCCGCCTCGCATCTCCATCACACAGGCAGACGCTGACGGGTACACACATACACACACACGCACGCGCACACACACGCACGCGCACTCACACGCACACGCACACACACACACACACACTATGGATAGGATAGGAGATACGTTTGCACACTCATTATATACAATACACCTTCTTTTTTTTTTACACCATAGTCCCTAAATATTTGTAGTAAGGCAGGAAATGGGATTCAAATCGAGAAACATGTTTCATTGCGGAGGACCCCCAGTTTTGTGTCCCCCCCACTTCTCAAACTAAAGTTACGCACACGCACAACCACACACACGCACACACAAACCAACACACACACCACACACACACACACACACACACACACACAAAACCTCCTATGACTTCAAAGTCAATCAAAGTTAATTTATATAGCCCAAAATCAAACATTTTACATTTGTCTCAGGCGGTTTTACAGATTATACAGAGTACGACACCCTCTGTCCTTTGACCCCCCCACATCGGACGAATTAAAACACTTCCACCCTACAGGAAGCTTTTGATAAATGATCCTTTGTATCCAGAGGTGGGAAGTAGTGGAGGTCAAAATAAATACTTTGTTACTGTACTTAAGTAAATTTTTCTGGTATCAGTACTTATACTCTACTACTGTATTTTTCTGACTACTTTTTACTTTCTACTTCTTACATGTGAACCCAAATACCTGTACTTTTCTACTTCTTACATGTTGAACTCAAATACCTGTACGTTTCTACTTCTCACATGTTGAAACTCAAATACCTGTAACTTTCTACTTCTTACATGTTTGAAGCTCAAAACTACCTGTAACTTTCTACTTCTCACATGTTGAACTCAAATACCTGTACTTTCTACTTCTTACATGTTGAACCCAAATACCTGTACTTTTACTTCTTACATGTTGAACTCAAATACCTGTACTTTCTACTTCTTACATTTTCCAAACAGGCTGGTTCCTTTAGTCTGAATGTGTGTTTGGTGCGTGATCATTATTCTTTAGAGTCATTGCGTGCCTATTGATTTGAACACGATCCGTGTATCCATCATTTCCTGGTCTTCTCTAAAGAAGAGGGACCAATGAAAACGTTGTCATGTTGCCGTTGTTCAACATGGAAACATTCATTAGCTAACAATGACATTATTGTTCTATTAATATAAAGGGAGTTCAGGTACTCTTTAAAACAGCTGCTAGTTATGGGTACTTTTTACTTAAGTACATTTTGAAGCCCATACTGCTTTACTTTTACTTGAGTGAATAAAATCAGTCAATACTTCTACTTTTACCAGAGTTTTTTTAAACACGAGTATCTGCACTTCTACTTGGGTAAAGGATGTGTGTACTTTTGCCATCTCTCCTTGCATCCTAACTAATCATCAAATGCCCCTCCTCTCCTCGTGCTGCAGCTATGAAGCAGAAAATGGCGTGTCTCCGACTCTCACCCCGCTGGGCTCTCAGAGTCCCGGCATCACGCTGCACAGCCCCTTCCCCCCCGGCCAGAGGCGAGAGTCCTTCCTCTACCGCTCCGACTCCGACTACGACATGTCGCCCAAGACGGCCTCTCGTAACTCCCTCACCGGTGAAGGGTGAGGCTCCTCCAGAGACAATATGAATGAGTGAGACATGAGTGTGTGTACTCACAGTTAAAAATATTATAATGATTGTTCTCTCTCTTCAGGCACTCCGGAGAGGACTTCATCGTCACACCTTTTGCACAAGTGAGTCTCATTCATATTTATAAATAGTTGTGTAAAATGTTTGAAACCCCAAAAAGTTTCTCATCTGTTTACATTGTGATATAATGCTGATATATTTTGGTATATTTTTATTCTTTTATTATAGATTTTTAAATAGCTTTAACAATATTTATGTATTGCTTTTAATTCCCTTATGTGTGTTTATGAATGCACATTATACCCCAAAGCCAACTCCTGGTATTTGTACACCGTCTTGGCAACAAAACCTGAATATTTTTCTGATCTGATACACAATAATGACTTGTAGGAAAATAGATAAATATGAATGTTTAGGAATTGAAAACCAGTGTGTGCATTTAATTGGAAGTGAATACACTTCATGTAAAGTCCTCTTTGATTATCTGTT